CTGACAAAATAACACGAGAGATATAACACCACTCGCCTCGGTGTCAGTGTCTCATTGCACTGCCTTCAACATTTACTTGCTCAACCGCTCTGAAGTGGCTGATTGTCCTGTGTTTTCCTAATAGTGCTTGTTGGTAAATTTTGGTTAAAGTCTGTTTTCTTTTTTCTTCTTGGTATTTTGCATTGGATTTAAAACCGAAGCAAAACATACATAATGATTTTGTATTTTGAAAGAATCATTTGCCAAGAATCGTATATTATTTCAAAGATATAGATTAATATACATTTGTATTAAGTTTACTTCTGGGATAGGCAATAAAAACAATGAAAAAAAAAACATTCTGTTAAAATTACTATCGCCCTGAACCAAAATATGATCCTAAGCATTACTGAACACAACTAACTGAACAGAAACCACTCCACGGGCACCATCCTCGCTCATCAAACCCTCAAGTGGACAATGTTTACCCTTTGCCTATCACGCTGTATCAAATGAGAGTCCATGAAGTCTGGTTCTCCTGACAACGATCTAAAAGCAATTCTTATTTAAGGTTTCAAAACATTTACGAAAGCTACTCGAACAGAAAATGTTCTATAGTTTGGATCACTTTTTTTAACGTCAAGAGCCTCGAGGGGCCAATGTTTACAATTTCTCTGTCCCGTTAATCAAATGAGCGTCCCTTGGTGTGGTCTGGCTGTCCGCACAGACCCCGTCTTTATCCGGGAATAATAACTACTTCCTCTTGAAGGATTCATGGCCTGACTAATTTATTATTCTCAGCTCTGGCGTGTTTGATTAACAAGCAGGCACATGCTCATTAGCGTGTTGACAGGTATTCATGATAGATAATCGCATCTGATCCCTGTAGAGATCAGAAATAACCAAGGGTGTTTATTTTCTCAACTCTAGTTAATGTTTTGAAAGTCTCTGAACTTTGGGCCACTCACAACATCATAGACCTTTTGGTATTAAACAACAGGTCCTTTTTTCTTCAGGGCTCAAAATTATTGAATTTTTCGGCTCCTGATTGATGGGAAAAAAGGCAACAGCCTTATAAACAATCCCTAAATTTTGCACATAACAGTGTAAGTAAACAAAAGAATATCTTCAGTGATTTCTTCGAAGTTAAAGCCAACTTCATGCCCAGGGATCCCGAAGAAAAAAAAATGTCCAATTACATGAATAAGGTGGCCTATACTTTATACCTCAAGTGGATCATTAACACGTCCAAGAATATCTTCCTCCACGACGTCCAAATCGTTTCCAATGCTTCACAAATTCCTATAATAATGTATATCCTAAATGCACCATTTTACGCTTCACTTGATCCAAAATTCCTCAATTTAAAGCAGTAAGTAACACCAGAAATGACGAAAAAAATTAACAATGTAATTAGCCCCGATTACACTTCACTAACTGATATATGTGAAGAAGTGACAACCTAAGAATCACTACTAGTTAGAATGTAGCAGATACTAAGGACAAAAATACCGACTGTAACTAAATACTTACTACAATGAAAGGATAGGCTCCATCACCAACAAACACCACAACCCTCTCTCGGCATAGAAGGAAAAAAATACATCGAAAAATATTATCCAAAAAAAGAGGAAATTTTCTGACATTTCCGTCGGTGTCTAATTGTAAGAAAAATATTACCCCTCGATCTACACATTTTATTTATCTTTTTTTGTTCTCCAGGAATCAGCCGGTGGCGCTAGAACATGCTGTAGCCAGTCACTTAACTCTGTGCCTGGCTTATATTTAACATAGTAATTTTCTCAATGACTGGACAATATAAAAATTATTATTCAGTAACTATCTGATTATTAAGGAGCCTCCAGCTATCATAAAATGTACGCGTTTTCACTTGTATTTTCATAATCCTCGTATTTTGATAAGTCACATTAAAGAATATGTCTTACCGCGTATTTGTTTGGAAAATGTCGAAATTATTGGACTAATTACCGAGCCATTAAAGAACCTTCACACGTTAAATAAAAATATAAATTATATTTAGATAGAAAATGTCTAACTAAATTGTTGTCCTGTAATTACTGAATCATTAATACAAAAAACCCATCACGAATAAGAAAAAAATAAGTGTTTTAAGTTTTAACTCATATTTCATGCTTCACTAAGTCGAAGATGTAAAGATAAACAAGACAACAAACCTAAAGAAAAAATAACAGGTGTTTTGACGCTTACGTTTTGTACTTCACCAGCTTACCAAACATAATTAAACTCCTACTACTGTTGTGCATTAACTCCTACAGTAAGTCACCCTGAAACATCGTAGTCAACTTACAGAAAACTACACAAAGTATTCCCACACCCCTGCAAATACACTTAACTATACATTTTATGCTAAATTATGCTGAACATTTAGGGTTTAACAGCAGACCCCTCAATAAACTTCCGTTATTAAGATAGTTACACCTTTTAACGATTAAATACTATAGTTAATGTATTCAAGATTGTCTAACTTACAGTATAGGTGGAGGCATCAATATAATAAACAGGTACCCTAATAAAATACGTTTAACTTCCTTTCTATGCTTCTTAAACTCAGACAAGTTGCAATTTTCCCTGTACAGTAGTTTCAAGATATGGTACAAACCAGTAGATATTACACAAAAAGAATACGTTTTGAATCACATTTTATGCATCAGTAACTCAGAAATGTCGAACGTTTAGGGTGGAGGGTTGGAGGCGAGCATTTACAGCTTCACAGGTCCATAACTCAAGCGAGCCTCCTCCTGTGTGTGTGGCGGCGTCAACACAAGACCCTCACTGTCCTCAGAAATAATAACAACTTCCTGTACGACGCCACCGGAACGGCATCTTTCACTCATTGTTGCCACCTTAAGTCTCTTGAAAACCTATCAACATACTTTCAATACTAGCATCCCAACCTTTTACATAAAAATTCTACACATTTAGAAGAATTTAAGGATATAATTTTCTCTTTTGTAAGAAAATGAAGGAGTGGGGACATATATTTATTGTTTTGGTGTCTTGGTTAGGTCGTGTGTGTCCCTGGCCCGAGCGGCCTAGGTTGGCGGCTCGTGTCTCACATGACCGGCTGCTGGTTTCACAGTATTTGTTGGTGGAGCCTACCAGACTTGGTGGTATAAACCTCCTAGTGGTTGTGGTAGTGGTAATTGTTGTAGCTATTGGTAAAGCTTAATAACATTGATGGTGGTGTTATTGATTGTTGTTGTTGTTGTCTTAAGTAATTTTTGTTATTGTTAAAGTAACTGTTGTTTAGGTTGCCTTTATAAAATGATAGTCATTGTGATTGTTTTGGATGTTGATTAGATATTTGTTTTGGTTGTTTAGGTAATTGTTGATTAGTTTCGGCTGATTTTTTTAGCAATGGGTGGAACTGTGACGATTGTGCTGGCTTGTGGTAGCTGCTTTGGTTGATGCAGTTGTTTTATAAGGCTGTCCTGGTTGTGATCACAATCGTTCTGGTTAATGATGGCAATAAACCAATTGTTGCTATTTATATTGTGGTTGATGAGTTGTTATGGTTGAAGTTGTGATAAAAATTGCTTTGCTTTTTATCGTTGTGGCAAGAGTTGTGATTGTGGTGATAGTTGTTGTGGTTATGATGGTGGTTGTGGTGTTATTGTGATAGTGATGATAATCTTTGTTGCCGTGGTGTATTATTTGTCTGTGGTAGTTATTATGGTTATTGGTTGTAATTATTGATGACATTATTGTTCTACTCTCCCCTATAGTTGTTGTTGTTAGTTGTGATTGGATGTTGTTGTTGTAGTTGGTTTCTGTCAGGTGTAACTATTTGGGAGAACTCTTAATGGAAACACTATGACTACTACTGCCATTGATGTTCTGAACTCGGTACTGAACAAAAGAACACCTGTTTCTTATAAAATGTTCATGAAGACTCGTATGAACTTGTAAGATTAAAACCATACAAACATACATACATACATTCATATAAGTACTGGTGAATGTCATTACGAGTGCAGAAAATTTAATATCCATGTGTGTGTGTGTGTGTGGGTGGGTGGACAAGATCGGGTCCACACTCGAACGATTAACTTTCATTCACAATCATTCTTACTTACGGTTCTCTCAACACCTCTTGTTATGTGAGCAGCCAACACAGTCTTACTGGACCGCTGTGTGAGGTCAACCATTGTCAGGGTGCGGAGAAAGAGGAGGGGAGGAAGGAGGAGGATGAGGCGAGGGAGAAAGAGGAGGAGGAGAGATAGGAGGAGGAGGAGGATGAGGCGAGGGAGAAAGAGGAGGAGAAGAGGTAGGAGGAGGAGGAGGAGGAGAGCAATGGGGAAGGGTTTGGTGGGTGGGTGGGGGGAGGGACAAGAAAGGATTCTCCCTACCATGAAAAGGAAGGTAGTGTTTCCTGTTTGTGGTGTGTGTGGGTGCGGTGGTGGTGTGTGGGTGCGGTGGTGGTGTGTGGGTGCGGTGGTGGTGTGTGGGTTGCTGGGGTGGTGGTGTGTGATTGTGGTGGGTGTGAGTGCGGTGGTGGTGGTGTGTGGATGCGGTGGTGGTGGTGTGTGGGTGCGGAGGTGGTGTCTGTGCGGAGGTGGTGTCTGGGTGCGGTGGTGGTGTCTGGGTGCGGTGGTGGTGGTGTGTGATTGCGGTGGTGGTGGTGTGTGGGTGCGGTGGTGGTGTGTGGGTTGCTGTGGTGGTGGTGTGTGATTGCGGTGGTGGTGGTGTGTGATTGCGGTGGTGGTGGTGTGTGGGTGCGGTGATGGTGTGTGGGTTGCTGTGGTGGTGGTGTGTGATGGATGCGGTGGTGGTGGTGTGTGATTGCGGTGGTGGTGGTGTGTGGATGTTGTTGTAGAGCTGTGGTGTGTGTGTGTGTGTGTGTGCGTGTGCGTGTGCGTGGCATCAGAGATGTGGTAGTGGTGATGAAGGGGTTTGTGATCCGCTGTGGTGTGGTGAGGCAACTGTGGTGGTGAGTTGCACGAGTGTGGTCACAGGCACCGGGCTAAATAACACAAGTATTCTCAAAAGGTTCTCTTTATTTGTATCACATAATTACATTTATCAATATTACAATATGCAATATGATGCTCAACTTAACATTAAGGACAAGAAAATGATGATGCATTAAATAGTCTCTATGTGATCTATGGTACACTATATACACTGTACACACACACTGGTCGCTCGCCAACATAACAGCTGCTACTACAGTTTCTCCTGATGCTTCAGCTGTCTCTTCCTCATCTCCTACTGCTGCTACCTTCACTGCGGCTGCTGTAGATACTTCTGCTGCAACAGCTACAGGCGCTCCTTTGTACACTGTGCGGGCGGGTGCCCAAAAGTTACCCGTTGTGGGCATTATCCAATGGGGTGTCGGGCTCTATGGGTAAGAACCTTCTTCCCCATTGGGCGTCTTTTTAGGGCGGGGTCTTACGCGGCCACGGTGCAGAAGCCCGAACTGAAGCCGAGGGAGGCGGCAGAGGCGGAGGACAGGCCCAGGCTTCCGAGGCCTCCCGACATGGCCGACATGCCGTGCACGGGCGGTCCCGACATGAAGCCTCCTGCCATAGATGAGCCGTGCATCTGGCCGCCGTACATGTAGTGCGACATGGAGCCGAACCCAGAGCCTCCAGTCCCGAAACCGCCGAAGCCGCTCTTGTCCAGAGGCTTCAACATGTCCGGGAAGCCCAGCATACCCTTCTTTTTCTTCGATTTCTGGCTCAGTTTGCGGTTGCGGGTCTGGATACCTTCCTTCTTCATGGATAGCGGCCGTGCAACCTGCGGGAGAGAGAAAAGGTGCTGGTTAATTATCGTAGTTCATATACGGTCACAACTGAACCCTTCAACATTGATTTCGGGAAAAAATAATACATTCTTAAAGTACTTCTACAGTACATATCTATCAGTGTGTAAGAAGCAGTGAGCCCGCCTCTCTGTATCACCTTACTGTATTTGGCATAATCATGAAGCTATCCATTAGACCTGAATAAAGTGCTTGGAAAATGAATGTATAAATAGTGTGGTGTAGTGAGTGTAGAGAGTGCGTGGACATGTGGGCGTGTGTGGGCGGCGCGGGCGTGCGAGGTCAAGGCAGGATCCTCCATCAGTGTCAGGTTAGCAGCCGTGGGGCGCCGCACTTGTCCCCGCTGCCTGGCTGGCCACGCTCCGCGGCCCCCCGCCCACACCTTACGTCAAGATTAACTTTGAGGCAGCACCCACGTCCAAGCCAATCCCGCCCTTGCTAACGCCCGCTACAAGGCCCACAGCCCCGACTCTCCTGCCCCAGCGGGTTACCATACAGGCGTCAGGTAGAAGTGGGCATCATTTGAGCGTATTGTGGTGGTGTGTGTCAGGGTGGGCACCCTACGGCGGGGTCGCAGCCCCCCCGGGGAGGTCCTATTGTGGTCTGCGGGACCCCCCACCAGTGACCACCCCCCCACTTCCACGCCCACACGCACCTGAGCAGCTACCTGTGCCCCGCTCGCCTGCCCACGCCCGCGTCCCACCCACGGACCGCAAAGTCTAATTTACCCACACAAGAGCAGCATATCATTTCTCACACCAAGATTACCGCAGAACGGCCGAGGAAGACGTCACGACTGGACTGTTAGTTACCAGGCTACCGGCAAGCCTTCACTGAGAGCTGGGCGGCCGGCGAGAGGAACATAGAGAAAAAATATCAAGCGATAAAGGATATAAACAAACAGAAAAACACAAAACAAACGAGACACGCCAAGTAAAACAAAAGGAACGGAAGGGACAACAAACGATTACCCAAGACCACAAGCTAAAGAGAAAAGGCTAGGTGGCGGCCGCATCATCATCATCGACGCCCAACACGAAAACGAAGTCACCCAAGACGACCCTCTTCCCTGAACCTCCTTGAGAGGAAAATCGAACAGGTACGTTAATTAGCCTAGGTAGCCGCACGGGGCATTGAGTTCGGTAGAGCTTTTTGGTCTGTGGGGAGGGAGGGAGAGAGGGAGAGGGATGGGGCAGGTATTGTGCGGGCGTGAGGCGGTGGACGGGGATTGTATTGACCTGTCTACGTCTGTCTGTCAGCTTTACGATCCACCACACCCTAGTTTTGTCACCCGCCATTCTCGCCGTCCGTTCGGCTCGCTTCCACTTGGGTGAACTCCCTTTGTGGGTCGTGGGCCCGAGTCAAAATGAGTCGTTACTTCGCCGCTAATCTCCTCCCAGTGGGGTTAAGTGGAGGGTAGGGGAGGGAAGAGAGAGAGGGTAGGGGAGAGAGAGAAGGGGTAATTTTATGGGAAAGGGGGAAATAGGACGGTGGGAAGGGGTAATGGTGCTATGTGGAAGGGGAAATCTGAAGGTGGGAAGGGGGGAGACGATGACGTATAAGTAAAAGGGAAAGCTAGGGGAAGGAAGGGTAGTTCCACGAGAAAGAAAAATATAAGGAGGGAAAGTGTAAGTTAAAGAACATAGAAACAATTAAGAGAACGATCGTGTAGGAGACAGGTGTTAGTCTACGAAAGACTAATTAAAAATAAGTCACGTATTTAAAAAAACCAAGAATAAAAAATGCAGAAATAAGTAAATATATATACAAAATCATTATAAAAGATATCAATGAACTCGATCATCCCTGTAACATCTATTTGTTAAAGAATTTGTGTTGCCTTATCTCTATCTCTCGTCTCAATAATATCATCCACCAACAGCAGTAACGTCAAGAGACCGCTGGTCCCCCAAAAAACGAATGTTCGCCGTCATTCCTAGAAGACTCTTTAATTGTAAAAAAAAATCTTGACTTGAAAAGAATTCCAATTATATAAAAAAATCACACACACACACACACACACACACACACACTAAGGAGCACTTGTCTTAGAAAAACTGAAGGCAAAAAAATCTCACGAGTTTAAGATAGATGCTAATCGGCGAGCGCTCAAAATTAAACATGGACCAAAATAATTCTCAGTAACTTTACAGATAAAAATTAGTACATCTAAATACTAGCTACTGTGAATCACAAAGAATTTTTTTTTTACAAAATGTCCCATGTCGGTGAGGAGTCTAAAGAGCGCGCTAGAATGCATCCTGCTTCTCCCTCATTTTCTTTGATCAGTCTTGTGGCTAATTAGGAGTGGAGGCCTGAAAGGCCAGCGAAGAATGCAGGTGGGAGATGCTTCGATAAAGAGGAGAGATAAGAGAGGGACGAGTGAGTGAGGGACGTGACTAATATGAATCTCGGTGGCGAGAAATTATATTAGGTGGGGTGAGGTTGTCCAGAGGGCGTGGGGTTAGGGAAAGAAGGGAGGGAGGCCTCGGGGCTCTTAACAAGTAAGTTTATATATTTGTATTTTTCTCTACCTCCAAATGTGGTGATAATAATTTCAGCATCATTATACCAAACATATTAACTAAACGATCCTGGTGGCTCGACTGTTAAACAAATTGCTCCAACTTAATTTATGGCGTGAAGACATTTTTTGAATGTCAAACGCCGGGGGAAAAAACCTTTATTACGTTGCTTTTTTACCCGTCCACTACCGCACCATCTCAATGCAAAAGAGACAGACCGTGAGCCATTACGATTTTTTCGGAGGAATTTCGTGCGCCATTACGAGTGGGCAGGAGAGAGGAGTCTTAACAGAAAACGGAGGTTGAACCGAGGCGGGCGGACAAAAAGGTGTACAGGAAGCGGGTATCAGATCATCCGTGCATAATGTGTGTCTCTCTCTGAGCAAACAAGCCTTGCCAACCATCACCACCACTAACCTCCTCCACACACACTTTAATTATTTACTTCTCTACTTCACTCATGGGGAAAAAATGTGACGTGTAAAACAAACAAACACACACACACACACAAATGAATGACTCCTGTACTCGTATTTTGGTTCCCGGTAATGGAGGATTTTTTCAAGGTATTTTCTTGTCTTTTCTGCACTGCGTCGTTATCAAGGCTCGTCGACTGGCATAAGGTCTGCTCGGCATCCGGACGACACGAGCACTACAGCAGGAAATAAGAAGATAAACAAGATAAAAAGATAAAAGGCAAGACGCAAGCCTTCCCCAACTTCAACCGAGCCGACGTCAGGGCGAGATGGATTGTCCGATTTCCTCAACTTTTCCCACAGTGGTAATTATCCAATTGTAATAAACCCAAACTTCACATAAAATGACCAGCAGAATATCTTCTTCGCTCATAAACAACTCTGTTTGAAGTCTTTTATACTGCCATAAACTAGAAAGTTCAAGATCAGCTACAACGGTGGAGCCTAAGTCTTAGCCGTGGGAGTGGATGTGGAGACAAGACCGTGGCGCCAGGGCGGTGCGGCCGTCGCCAGACTTACCAGAAGCATGACGGGGTAGGTACGTCCCCCAGTGATGCCACAACTAGTTATACTTCCTCACCATACACTGTACTTCCTTTTTCACACGCTACTAATTGAGATATTCTCCAAATCCTCCGGTCATCTCGGTCTACGTTTTATATTTACAGTAATATGATACACTGTCGCCTCTTGACAAGATCCTGGTTCAACGTGTCATTAGCAAGTGTTATAAGCGGACACATTTTCCCTCGGGAAGGGTTCACGAGGCTCTGGTAACAGTGCAGGCACGTAAATCTCTACGTCCCAGATATTTTCAGGAACGACGTCACTTTGACGGAGATTTTTGAGGAGAGAGAGAGACGCCTACGGAAGCTGCTAGGCCCGGATGTGACGCCATAGGGAAGGGGGGGGGGGGAGTCATTGTTGGTATACACAGTATATATCCCCCTTGTATATAATCAGCATTTGAACTAGCCATAATTTTTAGTTTAGGCTGACAATTAATTATGAATTACAAAATATTAAGTGCTTACTGTGTCCCTCGACTAATCATCTGATCAAATGTAAGCAAAGTATAAAATAACTGAATCGACGTAAACACATTAGTGAATGGAGTGTAAACACTGGGGCGTGTTTCTGACGCCACTGTGACCGCCTGGGTTGACCTAGGGCACGCTCTGGGGTCACAGCCAGGTCACGGTGGGGGTATCGCGTGCCGCGGTCATGTGACGAGGAGCGACGCGCGGCGGGAGACCATAAGCCTACCCTTACCACCTCACGGAGATGGGTTAGGAGAGCTTTATCTCCTCCTGGGGGTTATCCTTCCCTTGTAATAGATACTGATTTGTCTACAAATCTCCGACACATGTGGATGTCTAAAACTAACATTAAGATAACGATTAGAGTGATATTACTGGATTAAAATGGATGAGTTATCAGGGTTGACGCGCGGCTCCTCGACCACCCTGAAAATAAAGAACCCGCGAGAAACCTTAGAAGTAAACAAAAGAGCCGACGTGCTAGGCGGTTCGTCCGGACAAGCTTGTTCGGCGCGTTTTCTTTTCAAACTAGCCAAACATTTACATGACTCGCGGTAAGGGCCACTCCAGCTTTTAAGTGAGTCTACTGGTAGTTGATGGGAAAGGAGGAGGGGGGGGTGACGGGAATAATTGATAGGCTTGGAAGGGGAAAGACGGATATTGGCAAAAATTCTGTTTTTGGTACACTACGACAATCACCTGGATTTTATAATTCAGAATAAAAAAAAATCATTATTGCACAAGAATAGTTTATAAACTTGAAACTCTTTCCATTTTCACATAAAAAATGTAAATCTATCAGAATTATATAGAAGGGTGAATTTAAAAATTGGTATAAGATGAGGCGAGGGGAAGAAGACAAGCATGAGTAATATCGAGTTTCAGGGCCGGCGCCACCACTTCTGCCGCTCCACCCCGCCGCCCGCCCGCATTTTTTTCGGCGTTTTAGTTTCCCCTTTGAAGTCTAGCCTGGCATTTTTTGTTCCCTCACTTTACCGCGTTTATTTTTCACCTGTGATGTATGAGAACAATTGATGATAAATGTAGCAGAAAAACTGTAATAAAAGAAAACAACTGTATAATTACATTCAAGTTCCCATTTTCATCCGACCATATCGAGGAATTCAAGGCATAAACAAGATAGAAAAAAAAGTGACCCACAAAAACGTTTCTACATTTCCAGGTTCAGTCATACCCGTGACTCCTGCTCGTAACCCGAAGCTGAAAATGAGGGGTTTTGGCGATGATAATTACTAGAGAAAGAGGGGTAAAGACGGGGAAACGAAGGCACATTAGGAGAAAAGGGGAAACGCAGACGCCAGTGTTTTGCGGTCTGTCTCAGAGGGGAGAAAAATAATGAAAAAGTGAAATGGTTGGGAGGCCAGCCGTCCGGGCCACTTTACGGTGATTTAATATTTTGAAAACCGTAGAAACATTGTCTGAGGGAAAATATAAACCGTGGCAAATAAAAAAAAATATATTAAATTCAAGCTTCTAGGCGAGGGTATTGATCTTTGACAAGTAAGTTACGAGACGTAGAACGGAGGAGGTGAGCCAGGGCATCAGTCAGCTGGGGCGTCACCACAAACATGTGGACATCTCGCTAACACCCACTCCGACCCCTCACCCACAACCACCGCGACCAGAGATAACCAGAGAGGGTTAACAACAGCTGGGTAGTGACTGGAGACGACTTAGGAGCGACTCAGGATAACTAATACAACTCAAAGCTACCAAACACGTACAGTATGTTGAGCGGCTATGAATGACAGGAAGAGACATCTGCCAAACTCAATACTGACTCACAACAAGGACTTGCCATTTATATGAACACCTGTCAAAGAATTGCCAGAGTGACTACGAACAACACAAGGCAACTCAGGACGACTCAAAATCTATCAGGATAATAATTCAACGATTCTTAAGTACGCTCCTTAAATACTAAGACGACGCAGCTCTCATTCAATACAACCAAAAATCTACCAGATATACATCAAAGCTACCATGATTACCCCTAAAGACGACCCCACACCCACTGATGACTACCAGAAACAACCAGGACCTTACCAAGACCACCAGGACGACCCCACACCCACTCACGACGACCAGAAACAACAGGAACGCGTGTGTGTATGTAAGACGATGCCCTGACGATCGACGTGAGAGGTAAGTAAGTCTACCCACGGACAGATGTTTGACGGCAGACGCTATATTTTACATCGCTTTGGAATAATTACGCCCTACGCGACACCCGACCCTACCCGGGCAACTTGAGCCTTGTGGTAGGAGACTAGAGAGGCGGAAGTGTACTAGCCAGCGGCGGGAGTCACATGGAGGCTTCTGGTTTTCAAGGAACATGTGTTTGAAGGGCGGTGATATATCTTCCATTTCTTCTGAATAATTATGCAGCGGGTGTCGCTCCTGCCTGCAGGCGACATTGGCCCTAATGACGGTAGTCTATTGTGTCCAAAATGCACCAGGAAAATGAACCTCGCTCAGTGTCTTATGGTAGCAGAGAGTCATAATTTGCAATGCCGGGGCGATGACAGTCGTGAGCCACAATGCACCGAAGGTTTAGCTATGCACAGGCTGTCAATAATAAACCAGCACATAGTGACTAGTGGCAGAAGAGCCGGGGGGCGTGGCAAGCAGACATGACTCACTGCTCTGCACTGTGGGAGTCACAGGCAAGATGGTGGACTGTGTTGTGTACCCCGCCAGGTGGCCATTTCCACCTCCCCGTCCGTTCACGTACTGAGAGCAACAACTGACTTTTTGTTACAGGTGCTTCATTATTGACTACTTCTGTTTATTCATTGGGGGCTTTAGAATGTTCTATTTTAATATATCACATTTTTCTTCTAATTCACGCTCCTCTGGGTCCATAAAGCGGCCAGGTCAACTCTTTTTTTTTCTCAATTCTTAAAAAAAAAAAAAGTTTACTTCGTCAGGTAAGATGATAAACTTCCAAGCTAATTCACACTGTTTCTCGAACAAGTTTCCTCCACCTGTTCACCTTGAGAACAGGAGGACCCCCGGTGTGAGAGGTGATGCCGGGCCGTCTTCCCACAGCGCACACCCACACACTACCCTCCCCACCGAGAAGAAGAACTGCCCACATTAGCATCAGCCACGATCACCATAATTTGTCGACGAGGGTAAATATAGACGATCTCTCAAGATTTGTGGGCTGGCATTAAATCCCCAACACACACTCGGGATGATAGAGTCATAATCATCAGGCGTCAATAAAGCGGAAACTCCCCCCGTTAATGCCAGGTAAATCAAGCCGTCTTGACCCGTGGCAAAACATTCGCTGATTACTGGGACTCAGGCTCTGGGCTGCGGTCTCCACAGCGTCACACCAAAACACTGAGCTGTTATGATCATATTATCGTGTTATGACGGCCAGTGTACTTACACCCCTCACACAGGGGGCGGACGGGTTGGGGAGGGGGTGGAGGGAAAGGGGAGAGGAGGGAAAGGGGCGGTTGGGGGAAGGGGGGAAGGGGAAATGAGAAGGTAAGGGGGAAGGGGAAAGATATTGAGGTTCATAATGATTTATGAGGCCCAGCTGTGTTATGCAACAGAGTAATAGTGTTGTCAAAGTGACGCTTGTGTTTTTATGTCTACTCGTAGGGGGACACATTGTTTTTTTTTGGCGTGTTTTCCTTTCCTTGGTTATTTGTCCCGTTACATTTTCTCCGGTATTACGGTGAAGTATAATTCTTTTGCACACATACACACATACTATTGTGTCGAACCTTGAAGGGGTCAGCAACACGATACAACACTCCCTTACACAATAACTGCTCATTTACTGTATTTCTGTGTTTTTACTCCCGTTACTTTTCCGACTGAAGGTCATAAGATGTTTACGTGAATTAACATTAAACCGTTGAACTGAATTGTATACAGTATATAATTTCCTCATGCCTTCCCTAATACAATGCTTAAGGGAGGTTTAATACGCTACCTCAGAAGTGTTGGTCGATCTTGTTGGGTATTCAAGTATATTAGCAGAGATAACACTAGCGGTATCAAGGCTTTGTCTATTCTATTTGATTTATCTTTCGTGGGAGATGAGAATCTTTCACGCGTTACTCTTACTGGATAGTTGACTAAGAGGTTGGTCAGAGATCAGATGTGTCCTGAATGAGTAAGTGGGGTAGAGGAGTCCCAGGATAGCCAGAGAGGGTGATGCAAAGTACTCGTGAACAACAGTATTAGGCAAAAGTGACGGCCACGGGCGTGCCTATGTAACAGGACAGACCTTTCTAAGTCTCTCTCTCTCTCTCTCTCTCTCTCTCTCTCTCTCTCTCTCTCCAACAGACTTCCAGACACTAGTTACGTCCGACATCTAACAACGAGATCCTCCCTCACATGAGTTAACTCGACACTTCCAGGGAACAACATCTAACAAGGGAGAAGAGTTACCAGGAGGGTCAGACGTTTGCGGAACCTCGTCACATAAAGACTCTGACATATAACACAGGAGAGGCCAAGACTTACGTTGTGCAGCTTGAAGTAGAGGCCGCAGGCGTTGCACACTGACTCTCCATTCTGGTTGCGTCGCCACAACGTCGTGGTTTGTGTCTTGCAGTTAACGCAAGATGTTCCCTCACGACGATTGGCGGACTGTAGGAAGAGATAAGCTGGTTAGAAAAAGGCGTAATGAGAGAGAGAGAGAGAGAGAGAGAGAGAGATTGTTCGATGAAGAAAAATTTCGTGATCAGAAAATTCAACAAATTATATATAAATACAACTGTTACTAAAAAGCTGTGAATCATATTAAGAATTTATATCAAGACTCAGTCACGTAAGAAATAATTCAGAGGAAGCAGCCTTGTTAAAAACATGACATCCATCAAAGACAAGGGTGAGTGCTGATAACCGGAGGGTGAGGCCGTAAACAAGACGAACAACCACGGGACAGAGTGTGTGTGTGTGTGAGGAGGGAGGAACTTGTGACCGATTTTAATACAGTTGTGACTAAATCATCCCTCGACGCCACTCAAAAATATGTGGACCAAACAAGGGTTGAGTTCCAGTGGCCCCGCCCCTCCCCTGGCTGTCCTGAGGTTAATCAATGGCAGTGGGAGCCGATGGACCGATAGGAAAGGCGGCCCATGATTCAGGGGATAAGGCATGATTGGGGGATAACACATGATTGGGGGAGATTAGACACATTTTATTTATTAGGACGTACCGTGCGCTGCTTGGGCTTGATGAGGGGTCGGTTCTGGCCGTTCATCTTGTAGTACAGGCCGCAGGCGTTGCACAAGTAGTGACCATTACCGTCGCGTCGCCACAACGGCGTCGACGTGGCGCCGCAGTTGACGCATTCACGGCCCTCTGTTAACAAGCAAGAAAGAACACACTAAGTTATTTAGCTCAGGAAACAGTTAAATAAATATCGGATAAATACTGTATGTATGTGTGTGTGTGTGTGTGTGTGTGTAGAAAAAAAATGGTTTCGAAATCATGTCAAATATTCATATTTTCTTCCCTGAATAAACACGCCTTTCTTTTTTATGAACGTCTCCGTTAAAAAGACTTGTTAGTAAAATAAATTATAAACACATCAAAGTTTAGGCACGACTTGTCCCGTTTTCTACACCAACAGAATAATTAACTATCAAAATTGCTAATAAAAATAAATTAACAATATATCCGCTACTTAAAATTAAGTTGTCCTTTTATCTGACCACGCCACGACCCCTCCCCGCCAGGACAGCATCACTCAGCCACACGCGGCCCACAGTGTTATTAACTACAGTGCGTGTGTGTCCCAGGGTGTCCACAAGTGATGTGGTGGTGTCCCGCGGTGTCCCAACAGCTGTAGCAGCAATAACACTACCACAACACACCCTAGACAAATAGCCCAGGGTGACCAGGAGGAGCCCATGACATTAAGTAATCATTTATTTCTAATTGTTAATTTTGTTTCCAAACAGAAAAAGATTAATTATCCTTCTAATTCTTGAGTAAATTAACAGCCAAATCTCTGGAGTCCCTTTAAGATCTCATTTACGGGAGATAGAACTGATATTAATGGCCCGACACAGGACCAGGTAATAGGATTAGACAGCCTCGAGGTAGCCGAACCCCGCAGGGACGCACGAGGGACGCAAACCACATGTAATAGGTCCCACAGGGTGTCTACTCATGCCCTCAGGGGGTGTAGGGGAAGAGGTGGTGGAGGGACGGGAGGGTGTAGCGGGGGGTGGAGGGAAGGGGTAGTGAGAGGTGGAGGGAGGATAATTGGGAGTGTTATTGAAGGGAGGGGAAGACTGGGTAGTAGAGGGCTCAGAGGCAGAGAAATGAAGGAAGAGGAACGGATAGTATAATGCATAAATGGAAGGGAGGAGGGTAAAGGATAGTGTAAAGAGGGGAGAGATCAAATAATTTACCCTAAATTTCAATTAGAGTGTGCAAGGTGTTATTAATGACGGGAGGCCGGGGTGGTAATTGGGGATAATCAGGTGTGAGTAGCTAGTTAATGAGGTGTTGAGGGACTGGAACGAATGTCGTGTTGGAGGGAGGGAGGGAGGGAGGGATAGAACGACTCTCCTATTAATTGGTGGGAGTGATTGTCGTGTTGTGAGGTTAAACGACTGGCGGGGGGGAGGAAGGTAGGGGGTGGGAGGAAGGGTGGAGAGAGAACCAAGGTTACGACAATAATGAAATGTATACCTGTCGTGTTGAGTGGTCGGTTGTACTCTAAAACTGGATAAAGAATACTCTACAGTCCTCTTATGGATTAAAACGACGGAATCAAATAAGACAAAAACATCATCCCAGCAAACAGAAGCGAACAGTGACAACAAACGAACGAACCTGTCTATTGTCAGTGTGTGTGTGTACCTCGCGTCGACCGCCCCTCCGTGTCCACAACAAACGCATCACAACCACCGGCTATTATTAACCTTACATATAACGACCAGGTCCTCATAACAACAATCACCCTAAAGAATGGATTACTGTCTCCATTATCGCTTAAGTGGATGTTATTTTTTCTGTAATGGGGTAATGGGTATCTGCCCGTACCTCCTCCCCTCCCCTAAGTAATTATTTGTAATGGTTATGTTATTGGGAATATTGTTTTCCTTTGACGCATGACATTGTTTTCCCCCGACGTGTTATAGTGGGTTAAGGGAGTTGTATAGTTATTACTATTATGGTTATGAAAATAATTTATAACTTATTATCATTGAAAATTTTATTACTATTATATTTAGTCCTAATAATATTTGTTGTTATTATTGAACTATTATTATTTATTTTATTATTAATCGTTATCAGCATCAATACTCTTATCATAGTTATTATTATTAATATCACTCAGTGTTATTTTATGGGTGAAAATATTCTTATAATTATTATTTATTTTTATTATTATTATGAATCTGTTTATTAATATTAGTGGGAGAATCTCATTGTTTATTTATTTTTTTGGCTATAATCCTCATTTATTTAACATTACTCCTGCTATTATCATTATCAAGAATATCACTCCAGTAGTTTTATCCTCATTAGTGTATCTCATAAAACCCTCATCATCATTAAGACTATGACAACAAAAATGATACGCTATGTCAGTAGGCGATAACATGGTGGCGAAGATGGATCATGGAAAAGCCTCAGACAAACATTAGACAACAGACCTTCAGTTATCCTGTTGGCAGACGAGTAACAACATCAAGTGGTTGTCTGTCCACTGTTATACGACCATGGTTAATGTTGGCGTCATTACCCTTTCCGTGCGCCTCCTCCCCCTCCCTCCCTCCCCGCTAGCCAAGTTTATTAAGCACTGGCGCGAATTCGGCGAACGGTGGCGTAAGGAAGTAAAATTAATGTTGTTTGTGGATGTTGAACACGCATTTGGCGGATGGAGGGAGGGGGAGGGAAAGGAGGGACTGGGAAAAGGAGGGGGTGAGGGAGGGAGGGGATAGTATTAGGGTTGAGTGTTTGTGCGTGGCTTGGTACGTGTGTGTGTGTGTGTGTGTGTGTGTGTGTGTGTGTTTAGTATGGAATGTTAGCGGTGCTTCTGCTGGACTGCTCGTGATTTAATTGGTTTAGGGGAGTGGTGAAGTGAGGAGGGGATGGCCTTATCACTACCAGAGTCAGTTAACGTAGGATAACAACGTCTGGTTGATTGAGGGATTTGTGGGAGAGTGGAGGGTGGAGAGCTGATCATCCGAATGACTATTTGAGATGGGAGGTTTAGGTGAAGTTTGTGAGTGGTGGAGACACGGAGGTCTGATTAAGTGAATGAGTGTGAAGTGAGTGCTTGATAAGTTGAGTGGGTGTGAAGTGAGTGATGGATAAACCGCTTGAGTGGGAAATGAGTGTTTAATTAGCTGAGTGAGTGCGAACTGAGTGCTAGGATTGGAAGTTGGATAAGATTAGTAGTGGAGATGGGAATTTGAATGGCTGGTTAGTTAAGTGATGGGGACACAAGTTTGACTGGGTAAATAGGAGACCCTTCTACAGGTGAGACGTCAGATATTCCTGCTATGAGACCCATCGATACATAATGCAGGACGCCTTACGATAGTCAATCTACATAAAAAATATTCCTTACGAAAGATTCTAGGAAAGACTCGATGCTGTATGTTTATGAAGACCCTACGAGAGATGTTGAGACTTCCTAGCCTCTACTATTACAGAGCTACAGTACTATGGAAAGACCCTTTACACAGACGCTCGTGCTGCTAAGAGATACAACGAACGTGTGCTTACCTGTGCTGGATCTCTTGGAGTTCTTGGACTTCTCGTGGGAGGGGGAGATGGCGGTGGCGGGGACGGTGGAGAAGGGCTTCGTGAACATGGAGGACATCCCCGACGAAGGATAGAAGCCTGAGTATCCCGTGTGTGCGGCGAAGTCCATGGAAGAATGGGTGTGGTAGCCCGGGTAACCTGTGGGGTGGGCGGTGGGGTGGGTGGGAGAGAGGGAGAGTGAGGGCTTGGAGGCGAAGGAACTGAAGACGGGCGTGTAGGCGGAATCGGACTTGATGTCGCTAACGCCGCCTCCGCCGCCGCCCCCTGGCGAGGCTGTCACTCGGTCTGGGGTCATGCGTGCAGCAGATGTGTCTTGCTGTGGCTGTTGCTGTGGGATGGGGCTGGTGCTCATGGGCTGGTCCTGGGGCTGTGGCTGTTGTGGTGGGGGAGGTGGTGGTGGTGCCTGCTGGGTGTTGGCTGCTGTGGGGGTCTCCTCTGGCGGTGTGGGTGGGTACCCATATCCGACGTACCCCTGGGTAGGCTGGTGGGTCTGGTGGGCGGGTGTGGGCGTGGGTTGGTAGGTCTTGGCGAAGGGCGTGTGCCAGGAAGAGGCGGGTGTATTGTAGGCGGAGGGGGCAGCGGCGGCCATCTTGTCAGCGCCCAGCCAGGAGTGGAGGGGGGTGGGGAAGTGGGGGTGCGAGCGGTACATCCCCCCCTGGGCGAAGCGACCTGCGGAGGAAACAAAAATATACATTATTTTTTTTTTACTTTCAAATTCCCTTCACTACTGCACATACACTTACCCTTAATGAATATACACACATGTTCTTTCATCACCAGCATTAAGTAATATATCCTTAGCGTTCAGTTGTAATCAATCAAAATTCACATCACCAATACTACAACCAACGAAATATAACATACGACACTATAACCTCGGTACAACATTCACTATGTAACGTCACACAAACAATCACAACCTTCCTAGATCGACCGTGACACACTCAAATATAATAAATAATAATAATAATGTTTTCCCGGAAGAGAAAAAAACACACACAGGAAAACATGTTAATCCCTGACCCGCCCAAACCTCGCGCGAGCCTCACAGTAAGGACCACAGACATCTGGATTACACAAGCGACTCTCCCCTCAATGTTTCTTTCTCTGCGGCTCCTGAGCAATTTCACAAAGAATGGAGGTTGACAGTCAATTGACGGGTTGAGTGGCAGGTGGGTGGCAGTGGTGTGAAGTGTGAGTGTGGGCCTCGGCGGTTGGGTGGTTAGTGGTCTTATTGTCTGGTACTGTTTGGAAGCGCGTGGTTAGTTGGGTGGCGATGGGGGGTCTGTGTGTGTGTTGGTGGGTGGGTGGGTGTGTGTGTGTGCTTTCTCTTGTTGGGACCTCTCCAAGTTTTCCTTGTAATCGATGCCATTGTTTGTCTGGGTGTCGGGGAGGGAAGGTTGGGGGACAAGGAAGGAAGGGGGTGAAAAGGAAACTGGGAAAAGGAAGGGGAGAGAGGGGGGGAAGAGGAGGGGGAGAAGGCTATGTTTTTTTTGCGGGTTGTTTTCTTTGTGTGGTGTGAAAGGAAAGTCAAAGACCGGCCTTCCGGACTTCCTTCACTTTTAGGAAGTCAGTTTTGTAACAATCCGAATGGAAACGAAGGGATATGAATAAAAAAAATGAAGATAAAAAATGAGAGAGCGAGAGAGAGAGAGAGAGAGAGAGAGAGAGAGCGAGAGAGCATCTTCAGCTCCACATCTTCAGGCAGCCTCCCTGGCCTCACGTGCCGGGTGAGGCCAAACGAGGGTGCTAATGCGTGGGCACTGATGGCAGGTCATTATAGGGGCGCGGGAGTTACGGATGGACGCCCTTACAAGTGATTGGTGCCTCCCACGTGACCCCGAGGCCCGCCGAGGTATTAGTTCTTCCTTGAACACTCATCCCGTCGACTCCAGAGTACCTTCCCCTTGCTGCCTCTCGAGTCTCTACTGTATTTATCAAACATTTACGTCATAATATACGGTCGTTCTGGCTGCCTCGTGCTGCTTTTAGAAGGTGATTTGGTAATGGATATTCGTTATTATACTTAGTGAGAGAAGCGTGACCCGTTCTCCCTCCTACATCGTGTTCCTGTTGGCTCTTCTGACTCGTAATTATCAAATATTTATAACATAATGTATTATTTCATTGGCTTAAATATATCGTTTTAGAAAGATACTTCAAGACGCGTATTCGTGAATTATCCTCAGAAACAGAAGCGCCAAGAAGCGTCATCCTTCCTCCCCTCCCCAGCAAGAGTAGTGTGGGAAAGGCCGCAAAACCACAAGTCTTGGTCCCAGCCGCTCTTGAAGACGCCCAGCTCAAAGAATGACCGCTCCAACCCAAAACATCCGCGAAACATTTATTTCCCTCAGACACATTTACTTTTTCCAAGAGGGGGAGCTCAGCTGAGGGTAATGGGGAATGACAGTTAACATCTGTATTTGGCAATGACTGTGGTGGGAGGCTTTCAGAGTTAATAGGTCTAAGTTGAAGTTATGGCTCGCCAACCCTCGGGCGACGCCCACCCCGAGGCAGAAATGGCCTGAGAACTTTTTCTTTCTTGTTCGACCCTTCCGCAAACATCTATTTTCTCAAGAGTGTCTACTGCATCGCCCTTAACTGAAAACATTATTGTTTACTGTTGAAAAAGTAGTTCCTTCAAAATATGTTAAAAAAAAACAATGGGTAAGAGAGCCGCGACCAAATTAATAACACCCAGAAAAGGCCACACGAATTAGATAAAATAACAAACACATTATATAAAGTAATAGACGAAATATCGTCGGTAAACAACATCGCTCCGACAAAAAAAAAGCATAACAAAAGAGGGTCTAATCCCCTGTTTCGGCTCCAATCCCCTCAGACTGTGGGAGCACTCAGGACCTAATACGACAACAATGAAGCCGCCGCACCACCACATTCTTACAGCCAACACGATTTGATTTTATGACAATCCCGAGAAACCCGAGTGTGAGGAGGACGTCGAAGGTGATGGTGTCGCAGTGGGGCCTGTCTCCTCCTCCTCCTCCTCCTCCTCCTTTGTCGACTTTTTCTACTTTCCTTTCGTCTTTTTTTTTATTCTATGCATATTTATTTCTACGTCTTCGTCTATTTCTTCGTTTCATTATCTCCTCTTTAATCATTTTCTTTATCAATTTCATATTTTTTACCCATCTCTTATGACTCTAATTTTCCTTATCTCCTGTTTTTTCTTACTGTTTTTTTTATCTAATTTTCCCTCATTTCATTCACTTACGACTTTCTGATCTTCCTCTATGCTGTCTTTTAACCCATTCTTCATCACTCCCTTCACTGAACATCGCACTACAATGAATAAGACAAAACACCGTCCCACTGAGCCACTCAAATCAACACCCCCAAAAAACAACTATAGCATTATCTTCATTGCGTCAGTAGCTCTATACCCCAACTCGGCCACTGACTGATTGACTCACTCACTCGCTGACGGGGAAAAAACTGGTCACTAACGGAGAAATCATGTATACGAGTGACTTGTACTTGTTTTCTATACGAGTTTGTGCTGGATTCTTAAATGACGAAAATATTTGAGAAATTTATTTGAATGAGTAAATGATAATGTATTGAACGGAACTTAACGGGAAATGGGTTGATGGTAGAGTGAGCATAAATGTCAATAGAAAACGAATTAATAGCGGAGCATAAGTGTCTATAGAAAACGAGTTATTAAGGGAGCATAAGTGTCAATAGAAAACGAATTAATAGAGGAGCATAAGCGTGTATAGAAATGAGTTAATAGCGGAGGATAAGTGTGTATAGAAATGAGTTAATAGCAGAGCATAAGTGGCTATAGAAAACGAATGAATGGGAATAAAAATCTATTAAAAAAGAGATTATGGTGGATCAGACCAATATCTATAGAAACGGGCTAATGGCGATATAGACACAGGTTTTCACAGCTTCTACACAGTGCTTACATTCCTCCTCTTCATTGCTCGTAGATTATCATAAAAAGCTACAGTGAGGAGGTGGCTGGCCTCGGGTGTGGAGCTTCTCTCTACTGACGGAGTTTATTACCACCAAATTCTACGCTTAAACCCACTCGTAAAACACCCCATTCTCTCTCTCTCTCTTCCTCCCTTTCAGTCTTTCTTTTTCTCTCACGGTCTCTCAATATCTTGTGCCCACATTCTTTCCTTCCTTCTTACTCCTCAATTTTTTCTTCTCCCTCACCATCTCTTTCACACCACCGTTCTCTCGTGTTTACCCCAGCGAATAGGATGTCCCTCTCGCTTTCATTCCCTTGCTCGACCTCCACGTCGCTTTCTCTCTCCCTTAGGTAAGATGCTTATAACACCGTCTCTTCGTGTTTACCTCCCCAGCTGCTAGGTAAGAGCCTCAGTCCCAACCTGGCCTCCAGGCTTAAGGCTTTCTGTGGATAAAAGCCGAGGGAACTTGTAGCCAAGACCGCCAATACATCAGATCCTGCTGTCCGCCGCGGATGCCACAGTGTTTCGCTCCGTTTCGTCCACGAGACAAATTGAATTTACAAGGAAAACTGAAGACGAATGGTCATTTTGGGACAACAATGGCGTAGGGGCGTGGTGCCTCAGGTAGGGACTATTACAGGTGACTGAGAAATTAATTTATTTGCTACTACAGCCGTTCTACCTGTGTCGTACAGCGGGTCTCGTTCTGGCCACACCTGCGGACAGCCTCGTTAGCGACGCCAGGTGACCTTTGACACAGTCCCCGCCAGGTATGTGATTACCGTGATTGTCGCTCAATGGTACCATACAGCGCCCAGTCTCGGCCGCCGCGCTGAGCGACACAGTTACATTTCTCGTATTAAGACAGACATTCTCTAAAATATTATTACTTATACGTTTATGAAAGTGGCTCTAGATTTACAGGACTATAATGTAGTACTCATATAGTGAAGTTCACACCTTCTCATGACGATAATTAAACTTAAACTGTTTACTCCGAAATATCTGGGCCGTAGCGTCGCTCGTTACCATGAACACAAACAATATTCCGCAGCCATACTTGCCGCTCCTTCATTTCTCCAGCCCTTTACGACCTAGTCACCTGACCCTACATGAAGCCTTCCATTCCTCCAGCCCCACGCCCTCCCGTGATCCATCAGGAGGAGGGGCCCAGGGTGTTGCTGAGGGCGGTGGCAGCTCGGGATACGCAGGTACTCCCACCACGGCCCTGGGTGCCCGGCTCTCTCTCTTATACCCGGTCGAGTAGCCTTGTACACGAGTATCCCTTTACCCAAGAGGCCTCTACCTGGCAGCCCGATGTTACCCCAGTGTTAGTTTACTCTATCTTACATTTTGCTCATTAAGAAAAATTACCGTGATGTTGCTCAAAAGTTACGAGTATCCGGAACAAGTAAAAAATGGCAGCAGGTTTTGCGTAAAGCCACTATGACGCAAATATAATAATTATAAACAAAAGAAAAAATAATATACATTTCTTCCAATATATCAAGTTACCGTTCTCTAATAAGTATTTTGTTATATTTGTTAAAGAACTGATACTTTTTTCGAAGTTGATTAAGATATATCTATGTAATAATATAAAAGTCGGTGTCTGATGACGGAACAGTCAGTATAAACACGACAGTCAGAGAGAAACATTGTCTTGTCTAATATTCACATGGCGACCAACGTCTCCACACACCCACACCGGCCCAAATA